CCCAAAATCTTGACAAAAAAAAATTTGAAATTTCATCATTTTAGTAAGAAGTTACCCCCTTATAATTTTTTCGGAAAACTTTGATAGGTCGTAACTTTTTTTCTATTATAGATAGAAAGCTGAATCTTTCACTGAATTTTATCCCTTCCAAAGGACTACAATGTAGAGGTAGCGATGTTATCGATAGTTTATTGATAGTATTGATATTTCAAGAAATATGGAACAATCGAAAACATCGATAGTGGCCCCATCGATAGTCGATAGTGCATTTATCCCAATAAAGTTCATCACTTTTCTGGACCAGGCATTCCGATTTAATTTACTAAGGGTCAAATTATGGACCAACTGGCAAGTGTCTGGTTGTTACCTAGCAGGTACTTTCTATTCTCTAGTGCATAGAAAGTATCTGCTAGGTAACAACCAGACGTTTACCAGTCAGTCCATAATTTGGCTCTAATGCAAATTCATATGACCAGATCCAAACGGATGACCCCGAAGCAGTCCGAAGTCCGTGTGCACCCACTCCCAGTTCACTCCGAGCATAATCTTTACTCTTTATAAATTTTAACCTGACAGTTGACGTTGACAGCATGCAAATATACAAACTGCAATATCGATTGTTTATCGATAGTATCGATATTGGATGTTAACGCTATCAAAACTATCGATAGTGAGTTTTTGACCACTATCGCTACCTCTACTTAAAATCTACAAATTTGCATTAAAGTAAGTATTGATCAAAATTTGTTTCAATGGTCCGGAAATACGAGGTTTGAAAGTTTTCTAATGGCAAATGTAAGATTTTAGTCGTCACTCTGTGCCTTTCAAAAATCAGTTAATCTTATTTTCTCGTACTGTACGCCTCTGACACATAAGCCGGCGTTCCGACTGAACTTGGTTATTCTTTAAAATAAAAATTTTAGTTTAAAAAAAAAACCGCTTGCTTGCATACCAAAAATACATACATACATACATACAATCAGAAACCTAAAATTAGCCTAGGGGTTGTAATTCTCGCCATCTGTATTATAAAAATGGCCTGGGAAGGTAGTATGTCTTTGGCGGCAAGAGTACTTCCCATGGGCTGTATTTGACTAAGTTTTTATACACGGTGTTTGGTGCATCGTTTGCCAAATTTAACTGCCCGAAAGAGGAGGTCATTTGCTAACTCTTCAGCCATAAAAACTCATCCTTTTTCCCACGGGTTTTTTTCTTAATTTGATTTTTTGTACTTACAACAATTGGGGTTTCTCAATGACCTATTAACACAGAGATGCCTCTATTTTTATTATGATGCGATCATTGATCACATCGCGTACTTAACCTGAAATTTAAAAATAGCAGTAGCTGGAGCCGCTGGAGGAGTATCATCTTTGCTTTCTCCCCTGTTACTTCTTTCTTTCATTTGCTTCCAGTTCTGTATATGCCCATTTGACATTTTCAGCACTTTCTAATATTTCTTCCACGTTGCGTTGTTCCTTTTTCAGTGCGTCATGGATTGAATTGATCATTAATTTTTCATGCTTTCATAAGGTCTGTTCTCGCAGAAATTACAAACCACTCAAATTTCATTGGTTGAAAATAGTCAGAAAACTGTTTGTTGGCGATTTGCACCAATCAAAAACGCTCTGACTGATTCATGATTTCTCTAAAAACAGACCTTATGGAGATCGTCCGTTTGAAGGTAACTTGATAAAGGTTCTGTTGTTCTGAAGATCGGCCCACATTCTGATCGGCCCACCGGGAATTTCCCGGTATCCCGGTGGGTTCATCCAACCCTGGTGGTGTCCGAGATTACCGCTGGATTAACCAAAAAATAAATACCGACTGTTCAGCTGCCACAGCTCAAGGAAAAACCTAGGAAAGCAACTGACCGTAAAGATTACGTCATCATCCGTCCCCCGTTTCACCGAGTGGCCGTTTATTTTGGTATCGACCGATGGGTTGACCGTTACATCGTCGTATATTTCTTCATGGATTCTTCAGAAGCAACGGCGCTGCTTGGTGTTACTATTTTAATAAGCGACATAATGTGAAGCATGTTGTGGCCATCTATTGAGTAGACATTGATATCTGCATTGTCTGCTGAATACTGAATAAGAGCACCAGTTTCAAATGATAGAATATCTGGTTGTGGATGGTAAACAGCAGCAACTTCATACATTAATGTTTCTCTATACGACGCGCTGAATCCAAGAGTTGACAAAATATCTAGAAAAGGTTAGATGTGAAGGATCTTACACGTATCGTAGCCATAATAGCATGACAAATAGCGGTACACTTACACTTAAGATGGTCAGTTTTGTCTTTTTTGTTTTTCAGAATTAATTCTTCAATAAAGTATGAAAGGCTCTGTGGGATGTTTTCGTTAAGATTATGAAACATTCTACTGGGAGGAGGATAAAATTGAAAATCAACAGTCATGAAACGAATATCTTCTCTGATAATTTTAGTCACAGTTTGTACAATTCAAAGGCGTTCTTTTGCCGGTTGAGATTTCTTATTGTTATACCAAGCTTTATTTAAAATATCACTTTGAGTATCGCGGAAACAAAATCATGGTTGAAAAGGAATGAAGTTTTGTCGGTTACAACAACCGAGAAGCGTGGAAATTGAAAATGAAAAAAAAGCTTAGGAAAATTGGAGGATTGAAAATTTTGGTCCTGGCGGGATTCGAACCCACATCCTCAGCATTGTCGGTGCTATGCTCTAACCAACTGACCCTACAGATCTTTTTGATTGGTGTTGTAAAAGAAAGTTGCGTGGTTCTCCGCTCACTGCCAAACTTCTATTTATACATTGATATTTCTTCGTGTTTTGCGAAGAAAATACTGAGATGTACCGGCAGCATCGTCATCTTGTCGTCGTTTAGATGACACTATGCTACTCCCTTAGGACACTAACCTTCAATTCGAGGATTGATGCGGGTTTCCATTACGACGAACTGGGTTTTCCGAAAACCTTATTTCGCGCCCGAAGGATTTAATCGTTGGCTCTCTCTTTTCTTTCTTCGTGTTCGTGAGCAGCTCGCACCAACAATACTAGGGGGGGCTCGTCCACTGGCCGCCTAAAGGATCCCTATAGTGAGGGGACCCACGCAAAGTATTGTCAGCCTAATACGCGATCCAAGTGCAGGGTAAGCAAGTCACCACACTTCTGCCGAGAAAAATGAGGGTACTTTTAGATGCTACCATGTATATTCCTGCGACAGTTTTTATGTACTGTTACCGAATCTGTATCCCTTAAACGTTCTGCATGTTCATCTTCTCTTTCCACGCTTGCTTTTCTTGAAGTATATATACCGCGTTTTGCAGTCACTGTAACACCTTTCAGGAGCGATTGACTGCAAATAAAACAAGACTCATCCATCGCGATGGCTAATTAAATCAAAAAACGAAACGTCTATGGTTAATTGAACCAAATTCAAGCGGCAGTAAATGACAAACTGGTAATTTTCATTACAACCTATCAAATGTCCTCCGTACATGCGCACTAGTCCAGGTAGGACGTTTCAACCAATAGGAAGGCTGGTGTTTTTTTACAATTTAGGTTATGTAATGTCATTTACTGCCGCTTGGATTTGGAAATGGTGTAGACTTCTTGCCAAATAGATTTGAACTGACTTACATAGATTAAATGCGATTAACCGATCGATCATAGTTGACAGATAACCAATGAAGCAAATGTCATTTGGCAACCAATCGTTATTAAATGACGTTCATGACTTTTGACCTTGAATGTCTGAAAACGCAAGCGCCATATTGATGGGGACTTTTAGGACATTATTTCTTGAGGTAAAATAAAAGTGTAGACAAAATTTAGGCTCACTCGGATTTTTTCAGCAGATGCTGCTTTTTCCGGCCTAATATAACTGGTGTATGAGGGCAGATCCAGTCTTCTTTAGATTTGCTCACCTGTACGTACATTCTTTGGGACCTAGAGATACAATTCCTATGCTTCCAAGCGTTACAACACCCGCACAACGAGGTTTTCCTGGTCATCTCCAACCTTATCAATTTCTCTGGATTTATTCGGCGGCATTATTGGCAACACTGTTATTGATACACAAGCTGGACAAAAACTAACTGTTCTTTTTCACTTAATTTATCACTTCTTATATGGCACAGTAAACGTATAATTATTGTAAGTAATTAGTGTTGATTATGTTTTTAAGTAACTAATTGATACAATTTAGCAAGATTTTCAACAAAACTTAGGAAGCAACACAAAACACGACCTACTCGAACCAAAGTCCGCACGCAAAAATAGTCATAACATCTAAGCAAATCAAACCAGCGAGTTGCGGTTTATTTTCAATTGTAGCTGGGCTCAAAATCCTCAAATTAGCATTTAAATGTTGATTAAAATTTGTTTTTATGGTCTGAAATACGAGGTTTGAAAGTTTTTTAATGGCAAATGTAAGATTTTAGTCCTAACTCTTCTCAAAACAGTCATAACTTTTAAACCATTTAAGCCAGCGAGTTGCGGTTTCTTTTCAATTGAAGCTGAGCTCGAAATCCACAAATTTGCATTAAAATATTGATCAGAATTTGTTGTCATGATCTCACATATGAGATTTGAATTTTTTTTAATGGCAAATCTAAGATTTTAGTCGTCACTCGTAAAGTGACCATAACTTTTAAAGGATTCAAGCCAGCGAGTTACGGTTTATTTTCAATTGTAGCTGAGCTCAAAATCTACAGACTTGAGCTAATAGGATAAATTCAGATGTAGTCAAACCTTCTCAAACAACAAATCCTGGTTCAAAAGGGCTATGTCTGTTATTTTGATTTAACATTATGCCAGCTGTCTCGAATAAAGCACAAGAGCTTTTTTTTTGAATAAATATCACTGAAATAAAATATTATCGTCTGAAAACGATCCGAATACATAATAACTCTGCTTTTGAACGAAAATGGCTGGCTTTCGTATAAAACTAGGACTCATATAAAAGCTAAATTTTTGCGAGAGAGAAATTTAAATATAATAAACTCGCTCACCGTTCTGTTCCCCAAATTCCGGATCCTGCAGCCCAAATACGTCGTTTTCCCCACTAGGGCAGTAACGTTTTTCGATACCGTTTTATCGAAATACGGACCTCGGTCGATTATGAGGGGTTCGATTTCGTTATCGGCCTCCGGGTAGTTTTGGTTGTCCTCTTGCCGTTTTACCCTACAGAAATCTGCAAGAGAAATAGTTATTATTTATCAGTCGTCCCGGTATATAGCAATTACTTTACAAGAAGTACATTCGAGGAAACTGGGTGTTGATTAATGAGAAAATCTTATCTCGGAAGTAGGAGAGCGAAGGGTGATGAATTCACAGTGGAGAATTTAATCTACTTAAGAAATTGCTGGAATTAAGCCTTTAGAAAATTATTTTTGTTTGTTACGTCTTCACTTTGGAGCAGTTTATTATTTAATGCTGTTTCACACGAAATATAACTGAAGCCAATTTGTTTAAACATTATTAAAGATATGAAGGGATATACTTTTCAAAATTTTTTTCTCTTTGAAATTGTCAGGGCTGCACCAAGAGGGGGATAGCAAAAGCTGTAAAAGCTTTCCTCCTGGAATATTTATTCTTTTTCTCAAAATCAACAATTTTCCAAAATAATATTGAACCACATTTGCACCTTCTCACAAGAACAATACAATTCCTGGAATTATACGAGCAGAATCGCTGCAAACCAATTCACCTAAATGCATCCTACACACGTTATAAACTAATTACATATTGATCAAGACAATATGTATGCATGAACATTGATATACGTCCTCGAGCTGTTTTTCTCAGCCAATTGCTTTTATATTACACCAAATTAATGAATAATTTATCAAAAAATCCTTTTGAAATGTATATTAGGCATACAAAATTTGCATGATTTGAATTAGTTGGAAAGTATGCAAATATCGCGAAAAGGCAAAGTCTAATTTCCCCCTTCGCTTTTATTATCAAAAACTCATCAGGCTTTTTAGGGATTATAATTAATTACAGGTACTTATAGTTTGCTAATGGATATTCCGATAGAACTTGATCGTTAAATATCGACATTCTGGAAAGTTACTTGGTCAATTTAGAACAACATAATCTCAGCGGTTGTTAATTGGCCCATAATTTGAAATAGGAAAATTTCCAGGCACGGAAAATTAATCTTCTAATTAAATCTTGAATCTGCTTTAAAGTTAAAACAATTATCTGTATAAGTAATACCTGCGAGACGATTTCACTGTGTAATTTTAAATCGGATAAGCGCTTTTAATTAATTATAGGATCTTTGAAATGAACATCTAAGCAAACATATACAGTTTAAATGAGTTTTAGTGGAACTAAACAAACAAAAAATGGAAAAGCAGTCCAATTTACATATTTTTCTACGGTTGGATTTGCCTAGCGTACACATTTGTGCTCTTTTATTCGGAGTGAAAGGCGCTTGATGCAATATACCCTTCAGTATTGACGTTGAAAAGGCTTTTTTTTATTTTAAATTGGATCATTGCTAATATACACCACTTCGGAATACAATTTTTTATGTCCTGACCTTTTTTTTTTTTTTCGAAGGTGTATATCTTTATTACCTTGATAAAATAAATTGTACGAAATTGCATCGGGTAACGTGAATATGTCGGCAACAGACGTCAAGAACGTTATAAAATAACAAATTCATCCAATATTAACTTCGTAGTTTGATGCTAACTTTTCTCCATCGTTGTTTTTGTTTTGTGATGAATCCTTTAGGTACAGTTTCACTAAATACCTACTTTTGAAAAATGTTTTCAAATTATGTTTTATTGTTTTTTGCTTCATCGGTTTTTGAATTATTAGACTTTTGCACGTTGGAACAAGAAGGAGGTCATCTTTTAGTTTTTGTGAAACTCTACCAGGTTCCGATTGTGGTTAAGGTTTTTGAATAATCATACAGTTTTGTATATTTTCGTATGGTTCTCCATTCCATGTTATGGTCAAATTTCCGACGCCTTCTGTAAGCTTAGGATAATTCTTATTGTTTAAGAAATTTGTGCTTATGAAAACAATTTTTATGTCTCTTGAAGCTTGGTAAGATAAAAGTGATTCAGATTCACCGAGGAGTAAACCGCTGACCAAAAGTTGTACACTAAAATACCATATTTGACAAATAATACCAAAAATACCGACTCAAAATACCAAAAATACCAAAAAATACCAAGAATACCAGAAAATACTAAATTTCACCAAATAATACCATATATTACTAAATATTACCACAAAATACCAAATAATACCAAAAAATCCAAAATAATACCAAATATTACCCTCAAAATTCAGCTTAACAATCTATTAAAAATGCTTCAAGAGAGATCTGAAACCTGGTCCAAAACCGAGTCTAAAACCATTATACCTATTTTCTTTTATATTAAGATATGTACGGGGCGTTACACTATGAGTTAGTCAATAGATTTTTTCATCTCCTTGTCTAACTTATAGTAGAACCTGAACCCTGTAGGTAGGTTAACTTTAATAAAGACCGAATACTAATAGTGATAGTGATTCAAACTAGGATACAAATCACATGACCCAAATATAACCAGTAGGTAAGAAATGAAAGATCATGTAGTTGTTTGGGTGTTTGTCTATTTCTAAATACATAGTACAAGTATGAAAAATAAAGAATACACTTACTTACGGCACATAATGCACGCACTATATTCTGTGGTTAATAAAAGAAATAGTTGAATATGATCCTAATTTAAATAAAGGTAATACAATCAAAGATCAGATCAAGGTTATTAAATATGAAGGTAGGTACTTATAATAAAAAACATGCAGGTACTTTTACATGGTGATTTATGAAGGTTCCTCTAGAGGTACCTACTTAACCGAGTACTTAACCAATTTCGACACAATTAGGAAAACATCAGACTTTTTCTTAACTATAGAAAACACTAATTTTGGCTTTGAACCTGCCAACACAGAAAATGTACAAATGTAAAAAACAATACCTACATTTAAAATGAACTTATCACGAAGGTAACATTATTGAAAAGGAGCTCTTTAAAAAGGGTTTCCTAAATATTATTTCGGAACTGTACAAAAAAAAACTAAACATTTTATGTAACATATACCTAATGAGAACATCTCCTGTAGTAAACTTACAATACCTGAACCGATCTGGATACCCATCGTAAGATCAGAAAAAAAAAAAACGTACCTCCCTGGAAACCATGGAAATATTTCGTATGTTTTGAATTGGACCAGAAAAAGATGATAAAAGGTATAAAGATTAAATTACACATGTCAAAAATTTGACATATAGGTTGTCTTAAAAAATAAATCAATCAGGACACACAGAAAAAATTTAAAACGCTTTGCGAGGCAATTTTTTGTTTTGATGATCTTAGGATATATGATATATCCCTACCAAACATTTCAAAATTTGCAATGCAAGACTAGATAAATAAAATGAGAACGTAGAAATCTGCGGAAATCTGTGACAAATGCAATTATAATCAAAATAAAGATATAATTATTAGAGAAATGCCTACAATTAAACTTTAATCCGAAATCAAAAATAAAAACAAATCTTGAAAATAGATAAAGAAGCGAGCAAAGAAAATATTGAAAATATAAAAAAATCAAGAAGTTGGCTCATAATTATTGATTCAAAACAATCGCACAGTTTATCAATCAGAAAAAAAAAATGACAATAGCTAGGCCAAGCTCGGCTAGCACAAATTTCAATAATAAACTGTGAGATAGTTTTGAACTGTTCTAGAACCGTCCTATTTTCAAACCCGAATAAGGCAATTTTCTCATAAACACACCACAAGCGATTATTGGTTTCCTTGTAATCCAGAACGTAACACAGCAGAAATTGTTTATGTTAAATTGTAGGGCATTTAAAGTTTAAGAGGCAGAGCCGCGACGTTGCCACAGTTCCGTCAAACTTTCAAGTAGACGTAACTGCGCATGCGTTTACTGAATAATTATCCAGAAAATACCACAATATTTCCAAAAAATACCAAAGAAAATACCATATAATACCAAATAATACCAAATATTATTGAAAAATACCAAAAATACCAAAATATTACCAAAAATACCAGAATATTTCCAAAACAGGGATGCTATTTCTAGTACAATTGTACTAGATCTAGCACAATCACGTTTCACCTAGTACGCTAGTACCTCACTCATAAATCTAGTACAATTTGGGATACAAGTCGAGTGTCGCTTTTCGCTCTATACCGTACCCGAGTTCTGCACTCCACTCTCTACTTGTGGGTTGGGTTTCACGTTCCGGTCCCATTACGGTGCGGCTAAAGCCATCAAGAAACTGGCGTTTCGAATATGAGGCAATTTTTGTCGAGAATATTCAAGCATAATCTGATTATGCTGGGTTATGTGATGTGTCAATTGTGTCATACTTTCCTAACTCCCTTTCCATCAAATTCTGGACCTGCGAAAGACATCACTAACAGCAGAAATTAGCAATGACGTCACCCGCAGACCTCGATCGAATGCTTGCGATTCAGGCTATGCTAGTGAGTTAATTTTTTCGTCAATTTTAAATGTAGAAAAGGTGATTTTCGGTCTGTTATCACAGAACAAATTAGTGTTCTTGATCCTCGTGTATCCCAGAATTTGGGGAGTTTTTTATTCTGTGACTTGACGTGTGTCATGAATCGGCGGTTATTCGATTACTCAGCGGATCATGGTAATCGGTAGTCGATTTATAACTAAATATGTAGAAATTTATTTATTTCCATCATTCAGGGCCGGTTTCCAAATAGCGAGTCACCCCCAGGGCTAAGGATAACTCTAGGTAAACATTGCAACTAGACACGGTTACCCTGGAGTTAAAACCAACCCGCAGATGACTCGCTATTGAGAAACTAGAGGTGAGTTGCGATTTTACGAACTGTGACTTTGTCACTGCTACTCGTCTGTCACAGTCACGGCCTGCTCCGGTCCCACTCAAGTAGCAGTGACATTTTGTCACGGCCGCTTCGATCTCTAACCGATACAGTGCGGACTAAACTCAACTTAAAGTGATGCAAATAATGAAATATTATTATAAATCACATTGCGGTGACGCAAAACAGAAACTGCCACTACAGAGACTGGAAACATTCTTCTCGGCCGTGACTGTGAAACTGAGCGAACTGCGATTATGTAATGTACCATGTATTACCAGCACGGCCA